AAAAAGAAACGTTTCACCCCTCATCCAAGAGGCTTCGTCAGTCTGAGGCCTAGCCATCTGGTATTACCCAGAAGCCAGACGTTTCTTTTTAACAAAAAAACGAAGTCCAGATGACATGATTCAACCTTTTTTGTTGTTATATACCTGGATGACTGAGAAAACAAACTTTGTGTAGTCTAAACAATGTTTCTAAACTCTACAAGCTCTAAAAGAGCACGTCATTTCACGTCACGTCTCTCTGCCACGCCCACTTCGCCGCTGCAATCAGACTCACTCATCACCTGTTACTCCTAATCTCCCTCCTTCTGTGTAAATGAACAATTTAAATTTAAATACTGTAACATTTAAATAAACAATCCAAGCAGCATGGATTGTTTATTTAGAATATTACAGTATTTAAATTTAAATTGTAGAGAAGAGAAGCGCAGCAGGACAGCTAAGGGTTAACCCTTCATGCAGCTCTGCAGCACGGAGCAGAAATGTTCTTCTTGATCAATTACACTGAAACAACTGAACAAAGAAGTTCTAAAATAATTAAAAAATAACTTGTAACACTTTGAGATTTTGTGATTATGATGATTTTACGATGTGACACTTTGAATTTTAAGTTGGAAGACAAAAGTCGATCGGTGCATCTGGACAGTAAAGGGTTAACCCTTCACAAAGCTGCTGCAGCTGGAGGAGAAATGTGTGCGTGACAGAGAGCGAAGATCATGACATGCTGCAGGAGGGAGCTTCTCCCTGCACCTGTGGGTTGTACAAAGGTGCAGCAGGTGTTAAATCATGACAAATAATTTATTTTACATAAACAATCCATGCCACTCGTGTGGCTCATCCATCAATGAGCCACTTGTGTGTCATGTCCAAGCTTACTTGGAAAAACCGCAAAACAGCGAATCCGCGAAAGTCAAACCGCGAAGTAGCGAAGGACTACTGTACTGGGGTTTTGTCATTTTTCCACACTAACACACTCACAACAAAGTTCTGACAAATCACACAGCATATCACAGAGAGAAAACATCTTTAAGGATTAAGGCTCCAGTATACTTCCGCATCCTGTCAGCCACGTGGAAACTGTGCACACTGTCTGCACTTTCCACAGAGGGTTGAGACTTCATATTCGAGCGTCCACCCAGAGTGGCTGCAGAACAGCTCCGCAGACAAGGGGCGTTTACCTTCGAGACAAATTGAGGTCGCCGATTGGTCATTTGCTGACACGCCTACTGGACTGATTGACAGGTAAAAAAAAAAGAGAGTTGGCAACTCCAGCCACAGCGGTGTTCTGTGTTTATATGTTGTTAATAAAAAGTTCTAAAAGAAACGGAGCGCTGGTCCTACAGACCACACATCAGACCAGCCCACCAGGAAATATCCAGAACCTCCCACAGTCACACTGGACCTGATTTTAATTTGCTTGTGACAAATTCTTTCATTTCTCACCATTTCAGTCATGGCATCAACGAAAGAGGAAGAGATCACTTACCTTTTGGAAAAAAAGAAAGAAAGAAAAGGCCATTAAACCAGACCAGGGATGAAGAAGGGGAATTTAATACATTGGTGTCGCATACAAAACTGTCCGTCGCCGGGCAGTTTATTGTGCGACACCAAGTACGTGTACGCGGTCGTAAAAACTGAGCTTTGCATGGACATACCCTGCGGTGTCCGCTTTGACTCTAATCCGGTAATCGCGGACCTCCGCGGACTGACGTACTGTACGTCCGACTATACTGGAGCCTTTAAGCACCAAACTGGTTCTTGGAGCTACAAACAACTACACACAACTCCATCAGCGAGAGCAGATTTCTTCTTGCCCAGTGTGAGCCCAGCTTTAGAGTGTTCCTGTAAGAGTGGGCCCAAACACCTGGAGACGTGTGCAAACCTGAAGAACAACTACAAGAACTATCATCCTGCTGTGCTGCCAACAAAAGTTCCTCCATAGAGGACTTAGTCTTGTTCAGAGAGCCAGTCAGAGTTTATTGTCATTCGTGCCACATGTGGTATATGTGGTGGAACTGGTTATGGTCGGGGGTCAGATTCTTATTCCACTGAATAAACTAAATCAATTTATACCTTGGGCAGAATGGTGGTGCAGCTGGTAGAGCTGCTGCCTCTCAGCGAGCAGGTTACCCTGGTTCAAATCCCGGTCCAGGGCCTTTCTGGGTGGAGTTTGCATGTTCTCTCCGTGCATGTGTGGGTTTTCTCCAGGTACTCCGGTTTCTTCCCATAGACCAAAAACATGCATGTTAGGCTGACTGATGACTCTAAATTGTCCCTAGGTGAGTGAGAGAGTGAATGGTTGTTTGTCTCGTTTGTCTCTATGTGTCCCTGTGATGGACTGGAGACCTGTCCAGGGTGTACCCCGCCCCTCGCACAGTGATTGCTGGACATGGGCACCACTGACCCCCGTGACCCAAAATGGAAGAAACGGGTAAAGCTGATGGATGGATGGATGGATGGATGGATGGATGGATGGATGGATGGATAAATGGATGGATGGATGGATGGATGGATGGATGGATGGATGGATGGATGGATGGATGGATGGATGGACGGACGGATGGATGGATGTAGGGCTGCAACAACGAATCGATAAAATCAATAAAAATTGATGATTAAAAGCATTGGCAATGAATTTCATTATCGATTCGTTGTGTCGCGCGATTAAGCGTCTTTCACGGCGCTGCGGAGTCGTTTTGTTCACGGGCAGTTCATTGTCAATGCTGACTGACTGAATAAAGTTTGAAAAAAAAAAACCCTCTGTAGCGCGAGTTGAACAGAGCGAGGGGGGCGGAGAAATAAAAGCTGAGTCCGTTTTCAAAGCAAAATAAGTAAATTTTACAAATGACCGACGCAGCGAAAACTGTTCGACCCAAGTCCTCCAAAGTGTGGGAGCTCTTCACAAAGATAAAAACTGAGAAGCATGCAGCTTTGAAAACTGACGACATGACACGAGAGAACCACTGAGATAAACGTAAACATGTCGGAGTCACGAGGAGGAGGAAGGAGCTGCAGCTGATACAACTCTTCATGTGTTGCAGGTGAGTCTCTACAATTTAACACATTGTTCTGTTTCAAGAGAGAAAACATAACGTCAGTCTGTCTGAAGATGAAGCTGTTTGTTTGTTTGTTTGTTGATTAATGATGGTGATAGAGAACGTGTGTTACTTTTTATTTAATTTAATTGGTATAAGCAGTGTTTAAATGTGATTTATAAATAAATCTAACACAAAGATAATAATAATTTCTGTGTTCAAATTCAAATTACCATAAAAATGAGGACATGTTCTTGTTTTTCTAAGGGGCAAACTTACAAACTGTAGAGTAATGAAGTTATTTTCCGTACTGGACCAGCACCACGTTAGTAAGAGATAGCGTTGTCTCCGGCTACTCATATTATTACTCACAGCAACAGAATCAGCCATCCGCAACAACAAAATGAAAGAGGCTGAAGCAGAACAGCTCAGAATCAATATTAGTTATGTCCTATATAACATTTAGCAATGATACTATAAACATGAGGTAGTTCTTTCCAAACACGTGCAATGACTCAATGATAATGCAGATTTCTTACTTGTGAGGCAGTGCAGGAGAGCCTTCATTGTGAACAGATAAGGTTTTGGGTGGTCTCATGAGCCTCTGAGCATCCAGTCGTCTGAGGAGCCGAGGGGTCTGAGGGTCCCAGTAAATGCCGTTTATCAGACACGTTGTGTAAGGTGCCACCTGTAAAATTATTTTTACATTTTATTAAAGTTTGTTGATACTGTGCTGGGATTTATACAGCAACAAAACTTTACCCTCCAACTTTTCTAATTAAACATAAACACATGCTGTTTGTTGGCCAAAGTCATGCCCACAAAACAATAAAGAGTACAAAAATAATCTTTAACACAAAAGACTGAAAAATAAAGAGATCAAAATTTGACATGATATAAAAGATGGCAGGTGATGCGCATTCATTTAAAGCAGACGTGGGCAACCTGTTTTCCAGAGGGCCAAATCAACATAGTTCAAAGGGTCACATTCAAATTAGGACTAATGTGGGCATGGTGCAGATTGCCCAAGGGCCACTTTTGGCCTTCAGGCCATATGATGCCCACATCAGCTTTAAATAATGCTACAACATTTAAATGTTTTCATACAACTTTCAAAGTATTCTGCCCTTGTTTTGTAATATTGTTGCTCCATGTATTTCTTTAACAATAGTTTATGTACTCATGGGTCCAGTGACCAAAAAAGGAAGAAGCAGAATAAAAGGATGGATGAATGTTAGATGGATGGATAGATTGATGGATGTTGGATGGACAGATGTTGGATGCAAGGCTAAATGGATGGACGGACGGACGGACGGACGGATGGATGTTGTATAGATGAATGGATTTTGGGAGGATGGATAGATTTTGGGTGGATGGATGGATGGATGGATGGATGGATGGATGTTGGATGGATGGATGGATGGATGATAATGGATATTGGATGGATGGGTGGATGTTGGATAATGATTGATGGATAGGTGGATGTTGGACAGATGGATGTTGGATGGATGTGTTGATGGTTGGATGGATGGTTGGATGGATGGATGTTGGATGACAGATGGATGTTGGATGTACAGATGGTTGGATGGATGAATGGTAGATAGATGTTGGAT